TATATATATATATTAATTACAAAATCCAAGCTGAGCATTTGTTCATTTATTCATCCAGTGTCAAAAAATATTCTGTGATTATTAACATTTGTCACATTAACGCATCACTTAGAAATCTGTGTCATGATGTATCTTCTTGAGAAAACACAATTAAGTACATTTGCAGTAATATTTGTGAAGTGACGTGTCATTTCTGTTTCTTATTTTGGCTATTTATGCTGCTTTCACAGACTTGTATGTGGTCTATTTATACAAAAAAACGTTTTTTCAGTTGAGAGGTTTATGAACACCACAGATCTGAGACGAGTAGTGGAAACTGTCTGCCAGAATAAAAATATAATTTGAAACTGACAGCAATGTCAATATTTTACTCAGTTTTTGGAGATTGAAGTTATTTAAAATTCACTTTGGTTTTAGCCCTGCTCAGACTATAATTAAATTTCAAGTCACATAAATACTATAATAAACACATATATTTATTTACGTTTTTACAGCTAACGATGCTCAGACTCAGTATTTTGAGTTCTAACTGTGTTCACGCCAGCTTGCGTTTTGTTGAAATACACTTTAGTCCAAACCATTGGTTCCCAACCTTGGTCCTCATGAAACCCTATCTTGCATGTTTTAGTTGTTTCTTTGCTCTTAAGTGGGTCTTCATATTTATCAGATGCTTGTTAATCACTCATTCATGCAGATCAGGTGTGTCAAAGCAGGGAACCATCTAAAACATCCAGGGTGGTGGGCCTCAATCATCAGGGCTGGAAACCATTGATTTAAACAGTGATCATATCTACTCCTGACACCCAGCAACATTCAATGTTGAGGATATTTAGCTATCACAACATCAAACAGCAATATGTGCAGCATTTATCTGTGTGGGTGTGTATCTGGGTGAACCTGTAAACTGCAGAACTTAATTGCCCTTGGGGATAAATTAAGTGAATCTGAATCTGAAACACATTTAAAAATATGTTTGTGTATAAAAGTCAATTAAAAAGAGCAGATGTCAAATACCAGAAGACTGGAGCTGAACTCTGACCTTGAATACCCAGAATGGTTAGGGCTGGTTTAAACTTTGAGTTGCACGTCTTGTTCCCCCTGCTGAGTGACAAAACCATGCACAACTTCTGTCTGCTCTCCCACTGCTATCCCCCGGCGACAGCCGTCATTTGCATTGCCCTCAGTTAGAACTCTGCGCTGTGGACCTTGCAGCTCACAGCGTGTGATTGGTCAGAACTTTGTGGGCGTGTTTGTTCAGGAGCAGCAAAGCAGCGGCATGGAGCACGGTCCGAGCAGCTCTTCCTTCTGCATGTCATTATGCTGAAAATGATCTTTTCTCTCAAGCCGGTTTTTAAGTTAGCAAGATGAACAGCTTTGATGAGCCACTGATTTGATCTTATTGAATGCGTGAGCATGCAGCTGATGTTCAAGTTTTTTTTCCATCACCACCATTAACAAGGACAAAAAGGTGTGTATTTATGTTATTACTAAACTCAGTCATTTATTTAGTATTTCACCAACAACTAACTTTTTTTAAAATCAAATTGGACTTGTCAGTCCAGTCAAATAACAAAATTTAAAACATTTTCTGAGCCAGGTAAGATATTGACTGCTCATAACCTCCCCAGAACATCCCCTTCTAAACCCTTTTCCCCTTTTTTGTTAAAGTTAAAAAAAAACAGAAATAGAAACAGAAAGTTGGACTAAAATCTGTCCTAAAATGGCAACAAAAACCTCATCACAGTGAAATGATTCAGTTGATCCATGATTTAAATAAACACAGTTTTAAGTGAATTATCACAAATTATGTCAGCAGCATGTTGGCTGAAAACTAAAGCAGCATGATGGAAATAATGATGTGCCTTCAAGAAAAAGAAATGTTGACGCATGCAGCTGAAGGAGTAAAACAATAAAGATAAATAAAACATTAATAGTGTCGCAGAGGTGAGCTCTGATTGGTCAGTTTCAGARGAGAGGAGAAGCAGATGTCAGATGAAGCAGCTCTCTTCCTTTCGCAGCTTATTTCCATCTGAGCTCAAACTCTCCGCCTCCGCTCTCTGTCTGCCTCTCATTCTGCAAACCTTTCTCACTTTTCTGTTTGGCAGGCTGCGAGTCAGGGCCACAGCCACCATGTGTCCCCCCTTTTAAAYCTTCTCCTTTTCTTTCTTTTTATTTTAAAATAACAAACAGCTTTGGATAGATGGACACAACCTGAGCTGCTGTTCATGTGGAGTGAGCTTTTTTGAAGCTTTTGACTTTCCTAAAAAGAAAACTATAACTACAAGAATCAGCAGAACATTCTTCTTGTCACTGTTATTCTTATTTCTTTCTACACGGATACTTCTCCACATCTCAGGTAAGAAAACCTCACATGTCTTCATGTGTTCGGCTGCTTTTGAAGTCGAGCATAAACAAGTGCTGATGAAAGTGCAACAACTCAAGTGGAAAAACAGGCTGTCACACCTCGCTTATCACCACACAGCCAAAACCTGTAGTGTGACATCAAAAGTTGCAGCTTCACAGAGGGTTTTGCTTTGCTTTGCTTTGCCTTGCCTTGCGAGCTGTTTTGTTGTGACTTTTGTTCCCCTGGTGTCTCAGAATGGAGTACTGGGTATGAGTTTGGCTCCACAGAAGCAAAGATTTGTCATCGCTGAGGTTTAATCTGGTGCTGTCAACATGTTTGGGATTCCAGTCGCAGGTGCAGAGGACAAGCAGGTCCTGTTAGTGGGAACCCCACAAGGGGCCCCTGAGACGCGCTGCTTTGATAAAAAACACTTTTCTCAGACCGTTCTTCAAGACACAAAAAGATCACAAACACTTCACAGGTCTACCCAGAGCAGTCCAGTGTCTGTCAGATAAACTTCACTTTATTTTATTTTTAAAACAGAAAAACATTCAAATAAATCAACATAATTGCAGGTTCCTGCTCTGCAGAACAATAAAATTAGAGAAGTTTTTTTTGTCAAAAGTTCCTCTTTTTGAGTAAAAGCCAACTGGTCCCCTGCATCAAACAGAACCAGATATCAAATTCCTTTGGGTCCTCAGCCTCACAATGAATCCTTTATGACTGCTTGTAAACCCAAACTGATCATACAGTATTTGCCCATCAGAGCACTTCTCAGTCTGGGGTCAGCTCTTCATGCAGGATTGAATCTGGTCCTGTACTCTGGACCAGTTTGGTTCTATTGGGTCGCACTGCATTATGACCCCATCGCTCTTTGGTGCATCTGCCTTGTGTTGAGACAAAACTGTCACCGTGCTGCAGCCTGGCATGGACGCATTGAAGACTTGTAAAGTAACTAAGTACAAATACTTTGTTACTGTACTTAAGTAAAAAAAAAATTGGTTATCTGTACTTTAATTGAGTAATTTTTTTCAGCGTACTTTTTGCTTTTACTCTACATTTTTACACAATTATCTGTACTTTCTATTCACTACATTTTAGGTAAGAAGTAGAAAGTCATTACTCCTATTTTATTCCAAGTTGTTATTACTAAAAATAATACTATCCTGATAAATTGTGTCTCCTGGATAGAGTGAATTTAACTGTGGCTGGATAAGAAGTATAAATAAATACCATTCTAACACCCTATTAGCTTGTACACAACCCATCACAGCTGCACTACGTTAGAAATATATTCTTTGGAGAAGTCACCTCCCAATAAATGTCATTTTTGAAAATCTAACATCTCACTTTTACTCAGTACTTTTACTTTTAATACTTAAGTAGATTTTGTATCAGAAATTTACTTTTGATACTTAAGTACAAAAAATATCAGATACTTTAAGATTTTTACTCAAGTAATATTTTTACAGAAGACTTTAACTTTTACCAAAGTCTTTTTAAGATAAGATACTTGTACTTTTACTCAAGTATCACTTTGAGGTACTCTATACCAGTGTTTCCCAAAGATGGGGTCGGGACCCAAAGAAGTGGGGTCCTGAAACATCAAGGTGGGGTCCTGAAAATATTTTCTGAATTAATTACATTTTTGCCTTAGTTGTTACAAAGGAGTGAGGTTAGCTTAGTTAAAATGGATAAATGTGTATAAAAAATATTGTTACTATGCCCATGTTTTGTTGACCTGATGCAAATGTTTATCCTCCATAAACAGTTGGGGTCACAGGTCTCTGCTACTGTTATTTTGTGGGTCAAAAGCTGAAAAGTTTGGGAACCACTGCACTTTGGTTCCCAAAGTTGGGCTTGGGACCCAATTATGAGTCATGAAGCACCTTGGATAATCTCTAGAGATCAATTTAAAGGGTAATAAAATAATTGCTGATGTAATATTTTCCATATAACTGTTAAAAAAACACAAAAAAAGTATAAACAAATATTTATATTTGTGTACAAGCTGTTTAGATTGTCAAAAAGCCTGTGTTTTTAGGGTTATCAACAAAGTTTGTGTACTCAGACCAACAAAATTTGGGGTCACACGTTTTTGCCATGGATATTTTGTGGGTCAGAAGAAAAAAGTTTGAGAACCACTGGTCTATACAACACTGACTCATTGGTCAGATGGTGTGAATGGTCATTTCAAAATAACACATTTTGAGATCACAGATTCTGGAGGCAGCCCGACCTGCATGTCTTTTGGATGGTAAGAAGAAACCAGAGGAGAAAACCCACACAGGCACGAGGAAAACATGCAAACTCCATGAAAGGTCCAGGTCTGAACTGGGAATTGAACCCAGGACCATCTTGCTGCAAGGCATCAGCGCTAACCACTGAGCCGTCGTGCCGCTGGTACTAAAGTAACACTGACCCAACACAGTCTCGTGCTGTGGCACACAAACACTGCTGGGAGCCTGAAGCAACAGAGAGCAGCAGCTCGGAGGAGAAGTAAACCCTAAAGATGGTGAGATCAGGATGCTAGATGCTCAGAAACCTGCAGCCATCACCTGGTCCTGGCTGGGGCTACAGTATAATCAGCTGTAGGACCCCAAGCATAAACAAAAAACACAAAGACAACAAGACGATAACAATACAGCCATTTAGTTTGCCTTTCTTTCCTTGTGGTATGCAGTATAAACAATATGGAAATGCATCCTGAGCATTATGTCACACACACGCCACAAGACTTTACAAAATGTGTGTATGGATTTCTGTAAAAGGCATTCTTCCATCACACCAGTTAAAAAAAAACATCAGATTAATTAAATAAATCAAATAAATGACATCAGATTCAAGAAAATATGCAGATGTGGTGCTGTTTAATATCATTAAGGTCATTTCCTCCCTTCCCTTCTTCTTTTTTTTAACATTTTTAGATATTTAGCAGATTTTGATACAAACATTATAACAATTCAAAACGAATCTGACAAACAAGAAAAACCCTTGAGAAGCCATCAAAAGAAACCAAATGTTGTTCTGCCGTCTTCACTCTGAGCATTTAGGTAGCGTCTCACTGGGCTGAGGATTGTTGGAGGACCAGTTTGAAGGGAGAAATGAGATGAATTTCCTTTTTCAGTTCTGTTGTATTTCCAACCAAGTGACCAATGAGCCACTCGGCTGCATTTCAGCAGTTTTTGAACATCGTGGCCTATTTTTGCCCACCTCCACACACACGTCGTACCAGCCTTGGCCCACTTTGCAGCCAGCTTGGCATGATTTCATCTACTGAAGTCCACTTTTCAAATGAAGTTAGGAAAACTTGAACCAGTTGTTTTTGTTTATAGTTGGTACTGATCATTAGTGTGGTTTCTCCCATAGGTGTCAAAAGTGCTCTTGTTAAATGGTAAATGGACAGAATTTAAATATAGTGCTTTATCAAGTCCCTCCGGACCCCAAAGTGCTTTACATTTACAGACATTCACCCAGGCACACACACATTCACACACATGATGGTAAAGGTTCAAGACATCAACAAAACTCAGACTGGTTTGAGGTGCCAGAGACAACTTTGCAAATGTTTTGAGACAAAATTTGTCCCGCAGTTTATTCTGAACATGCTCAAAATTCAAGTGCAGAAGTACAGCATGGAACTTTTTAGAAGAAATGAAGCATTTAGAGACTTTAAAACTTCTTAAACTTTGTTCTCAAACTGGTCTCCAACAGTTGAGACCTGTGATATGATATAAAGTGTCCTTTCATACTCGTTTAGTCTATGTTAAAGTAACATTTGGAATAGTTTGTGTAGCTTTAGTTTAAACTTATGAGCAGAAAAATCTACAAACACAGAGAAAATAGTTTCAGACCAAATGGAACAATAAACTAACACCATCAGGGGACAGAAACCAGACAACACAAGAAAAACCATAAACAAATGTAAATTTATCAACCAATGGATGGTTGTAAATCTAAAAATGGTATTTTCCAACTTGCTTATTAGAAATCTGAGTTTTTGTGTCGTAACAAAAGTAGAAAATTCATGTAAACATGATTTAAAGGATTATAACTAAATGAATTCAGTGATAGTGATTTATTTTATTGGGCAACTGGTCGTTTAAATGCAAATATTATGGAAAAAAGTAACTTCTTGCTTAATTACAAGTGTTTTTATTGTAAAAAGATTTAATAATGAAAATAAATATTTAGTAAAACAGTTCACCAC